AAACATATACCAACCCATCATTTTTCCACCTGACTTTTTCCAGGCCTTTGACGACGCCATCAAAGAATCATAGCCACTCGCATCGCCAGATATTTCTATTGTTATGTTCATTAATATTATTTATTATTGTTAGTTGTAGTAGTAGTAGTATGTAGTAGTAGTAGTTGTTGTTGTTGTTGCAGTAGTAGTAGTAGTAGTAGTAGTAGTAGTAGTAGTAGTAGTAGTAGTAGTATAGTAGTTATAGTAGTAGTAGTATAAGTTGTTGTAGTAGTAGTAATAGTAGTAGTAGTAGTAGTAGTATAGTAGTTATAGTAGTAGTAGTATAAGTTGTAGTAGTAGTAGTAGTAGTAGTAGTAGTAGTAGTAGTATAGTAGTTATAGTAGTAGTAGTAGTATAAGTTGTTGTAGTAGTAGTAGTAGTAGTAGTAGTAGTAGTAGTAGTAGTAGTAGTAGTAGTAGTAGTAGTAGTAGTAGTAGTGTGGATCATTACAATGTAATAATATTAGTTATAACTAAAATACGCATACATCACGCATACACACAGACACACACACATACATGTACATTCAAACGCACACACACAAACATACACATACAAAGATAAATAAATACACACATACATTCACATACACACTAACACACGCACAAACAAACAAACAAACAAACAAACAAACAAACATACTAATATAACATTGATCTCCTTTATAACCCTCTCTACATTTATTAACCATACAAACGCCTGTTATAAAATGGCACGGTTTCAAGTTTAAGCAGTTACACACCAACTCACATTTTGGCCCAAAAGAACCTGGCCTGCATACTAAAATTTTGTGTTTGTTTGTGTGTTAGTGTGTTTGTTTATTTGTTTGTATGTGTGTGTGTTTTTGTATGAGTGAATGTATGTGTGTTTATGTGTTTTGGACGTAGCAAAAACTAGTGAATAAGGTAGTGAATTGATGAATGAATTTGCGAATCGTTATATAGATTAGTGAATTAATGAATGCACTTGTGAATTGTTGTATAAATTAGTGAATTATGGAATAGGGATGTGCGTGTTTTTTACTCTGGTAGACCGAGTAGGCATTGGTGCCGCCACAGAAAAAGCCGATGTTACCTTTGCACCTCTTCAAACACGAAGTTTTATCCACAACATTCGAAGGTATATGATCTCTACAAAAACACCTGGAACCCTTGATTTGAAAAATAGCATTTTTAAATATAATCAAACAAATTTTCTGAAAATTGCCACAAAATATTCAAACAAATTTTCTGAAAATTGCCACAAAATATTCAAAAAAATATTCTGAAAATTGCCATAAAATATTCAAACAAATATTCAGGAAATGGCCACAAAATATTCCAAAAAATATTCTGAAAATTGCCACAAAATATTCAAACAAATGAACAAAGAATGCTCCCATAAAAATTAACCGACGTCTTTCAGGCCGGCAAAGGTTTTTTCCTCATGCATACACTTATCAATGCAGATGGTCGGTGTCACAGGGTTCAAAAGTTCAAACTCTACCCAATCTTCACCAGACACTTCAGTGTAGCAGCCCAAATAGTTTGAGTATTTCCTCGTATAGTCAAAAGTTCCATCTATATTTTTTTAAACTTTTTTAACTAATTGTTGTTATTTCAGATTACTGAAAACGCTCACATAACTTGAGTAGATAGATAGATAGATAAATAGATAGATAGGTTAATTGCGTTAATCAATAATAATAATGGGAACACTTCTTTTATTCAATCAAATATCATAAAACATACAGAATAATACAATATTCAATATATATACAAATAAAAATCCCGATAAAATACTAATAAAAAATAATCAAGTATACGATAAAACCCTATTACTCATTATCATTTGTCAAGTGCAAATAGTAGGCTTATTTAAAATGGTCATTAGGGTGGTTACAACGCTATATTTAAAAAAAAAAATTTCGAAATCTTATCGGGGGAACCCCCTAAATTGTGCCACTTGACTAAAAAATGACATTTGTAAAGTTTTAGCTCAATTGGATAATGCTAACCCGTGCCTCATCGAGGTTGAAATTTCGAAAAATTGGAAAATTTTGAAAAAAACGCAGTTTTCGGTTTGTAAAATAAAAACGGTTCACTCTAGAAACATGATTTAAACATGAAACATGATTTAAGTTTTATTTTGTTTATTGATTAGTTTTCTTCAAATGTTACTATGATCACTATTTAGCTAAAAGTTATAGTTTCTGACATATTTGCATTGTTACAGATACACATTGAAAAAACGTTGAATTTCTCCATAACACAAAAACACACAATAACTTATTTACTATTACTAACCCGGATGCTATATGTTGTTTTTATGTATTAATATTAAGATCTTTTAGTTTTTCTACGATTTCTCATTTTTGGTAATGAGCAGTTGTACATTGGGATGAAAAATTACTTCCAGATATGTTAAATAAAGAAAATGTTGAAAGAGTTGCAGTCTTAATTAGCTGTGGAGAAGAAGAATAGTTAATTGGAGTTCCCCAATTAGAAAATGGTGCTGGCAGTATAATTGCAAAATCTGTTTATTCAGAACTTGGAAAGTGGGGTGCACTAGACAAGATTCAAGCAATGTCCTTTGACACAACTGCCGTGAATACTGGCCGCATTAAAGGTGCTTGCGTTTTATTAGAGCAATTGATGGAGAAAAAATTATTGTATCTTCCATGTCGCCACCACATTTTGGAGGTAGTGTTGAGATCCGTTTTTGATGCTGTGATGGGAAAGACTACAGACCCTCAATCGGATATTTTCAAAAAATTTAAAACTGAATGGAACAACATTGATAAAAAAATTTAAATCAGGAGTTAAAGATAAAAGTGTAGCCAGCAAATTGATTAATCCGGGTCAAATTTCAAGTTATCTTCTAGAACAATTAACAGTTCATCATCCAAGGAGCGATTACAAAGAATTGATTAATCTTTGTCTTTTGTCTTATATTTTTAGAACGCTTTCCGTCAGAAAACATCGTGTTTGCGGCTCCTGATGCTTTTCATCACGCAAGGTGGATGGCAAAAGCGATATATTCGTTGAAAATATACCTTTTCAGAGAACAGTTTCAACTGACAATTTTTAAAAAGCAAGGATTCCATGATATTTGCCTATTTATTATAAATATTTTTGTGAAAGTGTGGTTGGAAACCTGCACTTGCTCCAAACCAAGATTTACAATTGTTAAAATCTTTGGTAAATTACAATAAAGTCAATAAATTTATCTCAGATATATCAGTTTCAAAATTTATCAACCACATATAGTACCTCAATCCAAAGCAAGCTGTTTTTCATTATTCGATGATTCATTAAGTAATTGTGTAAAAAAGAGGATGGCAACAAAATTTTATATCTCAAGCAAATGAGGATGAAGAACTTGATGACTACTGTGATATGAAACCACTAATAAAAATAAATGAAATATCAGAAATATTGGACAAAAATGCGGACCATTTTATTTCATCACAATCAAGTAATTTTTTAAAAAGATTTAATATTAATGATCAATTTTTGCATACCAATCCAGAATTATGGAGTAATAACGAAGAACATTAAAAGAGTAAAAAGATTGTGGACGGATTAAAAGTTACAAATGATACAGCAGAAAGGGGTGTTAAATTAATAACAGATTACAACTCATGTATTACAAAAGAGGAAGATCAAAAATAATATCTTTTGCAAGTAATTGCTGAATGTCGGACAAAATTTCCTGGTTGCTCAAAAGCCTCATTATCCGAGCCTCTACCTTTTGAACAACGAGTTAAAGTAGAAATTTATTTGATGTATATCAACTATAAACAATATAATATGAATAAAAAATGTGTTTATTTGTTAATAATAGTGATTTAGATACTACGGTGTTATTTTAAAAACATTTCTTTATAAACAAATTAAGTTATTGTGTGTTTTTGTGTTATGGAGAAATTCAACGTTTTTTCAATGTGTATCTGTAACAATGCAAATATGTCAGAAACTATAACTTTTAGCTAAATAGTGATCATAGTAACATTTGAAGAAAACTAATCAATAAACAAAATAAAACTTAAATCATGTTTCATGTTTAAATCATGTTTCTAGAGTGAACCGTTTTTATTTTACAAACCGAAAACTGCGTTTTTTTCAAAATTTTCCAATTTTTCGAAATTTCAACTTCGATGAGGCACGGGTTAGCATTATCCAATTGAGTTAAAACTTTACAAATGTCATTTTTTAGTCAAGTGGCACAATTTAGGGGTTTCCCCCGATAAAAATGGTCATACAATGTTTCTGTCGCAATATATAGCGTATGTCGATTTGATTACAGAGTTGATCAAATAATAATAATAATAATATAATTGTAATAACGCGCCTGTCCAAGAAGTACCAATTGGCCTCTCGTAATCAGCCAGGTAACTGTTCTCTTCGACGGCTGACTTGACGAAATTTTTTAAATCATTTTTGGCAAAGAAAATGAATAAAATTTTTGCCAAAATCATTCAGGTATTTGTTTTATTTTCAGATTTTTAATTTTTAAGAGCTAAATATCGATATAGTGTCGTGTAATGTTATAAATAAGTGATTTAAAATATAAAATAAACTACGATTTATTTGAAAAAAGCATCAAAATATTAAAGTAAATAGACAAATAAATAAACACAAAAAAACGTAATTCAGTTTAAATTTGAAAAATCATCAAAAACAACGAATTGGATTTTGGTTGAAAGCTTATTCGAGATTGTAATATTTTGAAAATTAGTTTTAAAGCCCTGTAATATTGAACAATTAATTTCACTTTAAACGAAAATAATTCTCACAAATTTTACATTTCCATTTATGATGTTACACATTGAACTGCTGAAAGTCACAATAAATAACTTACAATGATAACAAACAAACAAACAAACAAACAAACATCATATATAGCAAATAATGAATAAAGAGAAGCAAAAATCTATCAACTAATTCGTAATCTTCGGGAAAACATTAAAATCAAAAATTATGAGCAAAAAAGTCTTGGTCCCTTTTTTAGAAGCAGTCAAAACATACGCGCAAAGAATTGACACCCAGCATTCGAATCGCAACATTCTTTCTAATACTGCTATCCCTACTCCAGCTTCTTCTCTTATAACCTGTCCTCCATTTACCCCCTGCTTCCAACCAAAACCTCTGAAAAGAAGTTGCTTAAAGAAACCAGAAATTCAGCCCCATGTTACAAATTCACCGGATAAAAAAGATAATTCAAAACTATGGAACACGACGAGCAATTTAGAGTCGAACATTTCGTCGAGTTTAGCGGTTACAAATAAATTGAGGGAGACAGAGAACATAATCGAACAGCTGAGTAGTTTAGAATCGCCGTTATCTAACTGTCCTCAAAAGTTGCTGAGTTACTTGGAGGAAATAAAAAATGACTTGCAGGAGAACTGCAGACAGATGATCAGGAAGCAGATCAGTAAGGTAGATTTCATTCACAGTGGCTCTGACAAATTCGAATCGATGCCGACGAAAATTTTGGAAGATTCAAACGAAATCAAAGAGATCGTCGAAAATTTAGGAGATGAAAAAATCATAAAAGCATTTTTGCGCGAAAGAGGCCGAGAAAACTTTGATCAAATGAGACACAAAGGCGATCCTACAACACTAAAAACAAAAAAACGTCAGCCGTCACCTTTATTTTTATCAAAAGACAAGGACGCAACTGACAAATCGAAACCTTTCCAGAGCATCATGAAGAAATCACATCCGATACCTCAGCGCTCAGGTGATGAAAAACAATCGTTGAAAGCATGTAACTTAGCGATTTATAGAAACACCAAAGAGACACTTTCCGCAGAGGACAACATTGAAGAAAAAATTTTGGACTCCTACGAAGTTCCTCAGAAAAAGGAAAACCTTCCATTGAACTTCAAAGACACATTAATGACCAAAGAAAAGGTGGAAACTTTGGAGCTCTTAATTTCTAAGGAACTGGACAAAGATTGCCAAGCGGATGCGTCAGACACTGTTTTACAAAAAAGTGACGTCAAGAGGTTAGACTCCGAAGACAGCACAAAAACACTGACATCATCACAATCTATGACGATTAGAAACATTTTCATTTCGGAAAATAATTTTGAACCAGCTAACAAACTAAGACGCAACGACAGCAACGACAACACGTTTCAGTACAAAAAGTTTTTTAACATGAATCGGTCGTTAACAGGTGTCAATGAAAATAATCCCACTGAGAAAGCGCCAGGTGCTGATGTTGAAAATTTCAAAACATTTTTAAACAATGAGAGGAAATCAAGAGAGGTGGGATCTTTCTCGCCAAATGAAACGTGTTCGAAAAGCCGAGGAAAAAACGATGGTCCAAAAAAGTCGTTTGATACAGGCAGTGCACATACGAAGAGTTGCGTGAGCCCGGAGTACCTGATGCGAACCTTCCCAACCAGACAACCACTTCTCAGCTCCACGAGTTCACAAAATGTTTTACTTGAAAATCAATTTTCGTCCGAGTTTTTGAGTGAGAAGAGTCCCTGGCTTCCTGCGAAGACAACACATTCTGAAGTTTTGAAGCAGAATAAGAAGAAAATTAAAGAGGATTTTTCGACAATCAACTTGTTGGACAACTTTGTAAAAGAATTGAACACAAATAAGACAAGGAAGGTAAAATCGATAGAACTTCTTTTGAAAAATATCGAACTGAAGCAGAACGAGATGAAAGTAAGATGCAAGTTTGCGAAGAACACGTACCAGAATTTCCTAACGAACAAGATAAGGGTGTTGCAGGCTATATCAGACCTCAAAACATCAAAAATAAATTTCCATGACAAACAATTGATCGAGAATTTGAATTCAATCGACCTTGACCTTCTCGAAAACACCATGTGCATGATTCTAGACTCGAAAAAGTTGAGTGAGATGGCTGAGGTGTTCAAATCCATTTTGTTGAAAAAAGTTCAGACGAATTCCCTTCATAAAAATAAATTAGGGAAGAGACAGTCGCACGTATCTTTGTCTGAAAAACAACAGCAACAGCAGCAACAACAACAAAATTTGGGGGCCAATAATTCTTCCAAACTTCCAGCTAGTGATTCAAAAAGCTCCCTGCACACCAGTGCATGTCACTCATGCTTCGAGTTTGCGCCTCTAAGTCGGTTCAAATTAAATTAAATAGTTTTAAACGTTAAATCATTTTTTGAATAAATGCTGAAAATATTTAAAATTTATTCAATATTAATAATTATTGAAACATTTAAAACTTTAATAATCCATAAAATGTTTGCCGATAAATTTTAATTGAACATGACAGATGCCGTGCTACCAGATAACTACGAGTTGATAGCATGCAACGAGTACCCACAGAAGATAGCAGGCCTGACAGTTCTCAGAAACGTCATGTTCGTTGTTCTCGAAGACAAATCGGAGCTGTTCTACTCGCCTCTGAACGGTTTCCAGGGCAACAGACTGTTCTGGAGTCACAAGTACGATTCAATAGTGGATCCTATTGATATGATGTCCTCTGGCGAGTTTCTCTTCATCTTGCTGGCGAACGGACGCATTTTGAAAATTGACCCACGCCGAAACACCTCCCTGGAGAAGATTCTGAGGCTGCCGTACGGACTGGCCAAAGATGCGGTCAGTCTGTCGAGGTTGAGGTCTGGCAACATCATGGTCATCAATCGCAGTCCTGGCCAGCTCATTGAAGTTGACGTCAACAGTAAAGTGGTGAAGGTCATACGACTGCCCGATGAATTAGACGATGTCTCTCACGTGGTGCAGTTGAGTTCGCAGAGGTTCGCGGTCTCGTGTTCCGGGTTCAACCACAGGGGGGTCTGCCTCATCGATTCGAAGGGTAACATAATGAACGAATGTTGTTTCTATTTGAAAAAATATAAAAACCTCAGACCTGGTTTGAAACTTTGTGACATTTTAAAATGCCCCGTTCATCTAGCGGCTGATGATGTGGGTTGTATATACGTTGCAGACACCAGCAAGAACTGCATCATCGTCCTACCGTCTGACCTCTCCTGCGTCAACAAAATTTACTTTTCAAAATTTCCATTCTGTCAGCCGTCGAGACTTTTCTACCACTCCAAATCGATGAATGTTCATTTCTCGTGTCTGTCTCGAAACAAATGGGTGGTTGGCTCTTTCAAAACATCGGCATCCAACGATTTATGAGAATTATTTATTCATTCGCCATGTTCTACGATTTAATTTGGCAATCTTTATCAGTCTATGACTAGTTTGACAACTGTATGTGTGTGTGGGAGGGGGTGTGGTAAGGATTAGGATTTGAATTCAAATGATTTAAAACCCTTATTTCTTTTTGATTTTTGATTTGAAGCCTATAAATTTGTAAAGTAACTAGTATAATTGAAATAAAAATAAACACATACCTCAAGCAGTTGCTTCACTCATTTTCAAATTAACGCATAAATAAAAAATTAAGTACCCTCAAAAAACCATCAACAAAAAGCAGACAGTAAAAGGCAAAAATATAGACAGACACGCTATAATTAAGACACCCAATAAGCACCTTAAACATCGTTTAACGTATTACATGACGTTAATATCTGACTGATTTCTTGTGGCAACTGTTGCCAGAGCTAACGATAATAATAGGTAACATCTATCTAAACTCGTGGAAGGTTCAAATGACGATGGGACTAGGTAATATTTAACTAATTTGGGAGCCAAAAGTAATGATAGGTATAAACGAACTTAGCTTCGTTTCATATTTCCTCGGTGAACTTTCTAGAAAGCTGATATATCGGACTAAGTTGGGTGACTGATTGGTTTGTTGATTGACTGATTGACTGATTGATTAGTAGATTGACTGGTTGATTGATTGACTGATTGATTGGTTGATTGGTTAATTGATTGGTTGATTGGTTAATTGATTGATTGATTGGTTAATTGATTGGTTGATTGGTTAATTGATTGGTTAATTTAATTGAATGACTGATTGGCAGATTGATTGAGATAGAATATTCGCTAACATACCGGTTGTAATACGGTTGTTGGTTGGTTGTTGTTTGGCGGTGATGACAATGATGATGTCACACGTACACAGCGTGCACTCAAACGCACATACATACACACGTACGCAGACATACACGGACACACGCAAACTTATAAAAACATCACATCAAGAACTGATATGAATTGGTACAACTCGACCATACCATATCCTAGTATACACATATGAAATAAAAACCAAATAGACATACTCAACAATAGCAATAATAATTATAACAATACTACTACTACAACTACTACTGCTACTACTACAACAACTGCTACTACTACTGCTGCTGCAGCTGCTACTACTTCTACTACTTCTACTACTACTACTTTTAATAAATAATAACAAAAGATGCTTGCATAAAAATAGTATGGACGGACATATATACATACAAACACCTGTTCAGCTTATGACATTGTGCTCCAATGACCAAACAAGAGCCACTTGTGTGTGTGTGCGTACGTGTGCGTATGTGTGCGTGTGTGTGCGTGTGTATGTGTGTGTGGTGTGTAAGTTTGCATGTATACATTTATATATATATACACCCTACAATAACTAACTGAACTCAAAATAAAGTTGGACAACAACAACAAAATCAACAAAACTACAGCAACAATTCAACTTCTGTGGCTGCTACAGCAACAACAACAACAACTACAATAACTATTACTACTACTACTACTTCAACAACAACAACAACAACACCACCAAATACAATTAAAAAGATTGAGATAGTGTTACAAAATGCGCGGTTTAACACGTTCCTAGCGAGGCCCCACTAATTACACGAAGCTTAATGACAGAACTGGCTACACTAACACAACAAATAGAAATGCCGCTATATAAAAATATTCGACACAACAACAACAACAACATTAATGACAACAACAACAACATTAATGACCACAACACAACAACATTAACGACCACATCACAACAACACTAATGACACCAACACAACAACAACAACATTAATGACCACAACACAATAACAACATTAACGACAACAACACAACAACATCAATAACATCATCAATAACAACAACAACTACATCAGCTATGCCATCAGCAACATTAACAACAACAACAACAACATCAATAACATCATCAGTAACAACAACAACAACAACAACCTGCTTATGTATACGCGCTGATCAAAGAAAATTTGTAAAACATTTTCCGCATTTCATAACATTTACTAGACGTTTTGCTATGCGTGTTATTGTGATTATTATGATTATTATTGCTATTATTATGGTTATTATTATTATTGTTGTTGTTGTTATTGTTGTTGTTGTTGTTGTGGTTGTTGCTATTGTAGTTATTGTTGGTTCCTTTATATATTTAGTGTAATGTTTTTGTCGGTAAATCTACAACAGAGAGGCAGCAATATCAGCAAACAAACAAACAAACAGACCGACAAGCAGACAGCCAGACAGACAGACACAAAGAAAGACAAACAGACAGACAGTCTGACAAACAAATAAACAGACAAACAAATAGCAAAAACATTCTATCTACCTTCACTAACAAAATCACGCAGTGCCCAATTGTTATCATCCGTTTTTCAATCGTTACGTTACGCAACACGCACGCACACACACACACACACACACACGCACGCACACACATACACACGCACGCACGCACACACATACACATGTTTTTCTATTGTGACCGGTATTTAATACCCCTTGTAATTAAAATACAAGATTAAAGGTATTCTGATGATTGCTGTTTATCAAGATGTCGTTAGTGAGAGACAGAGAGAGAAAGAGAGAGAGAAACAGACAGACAGAGAAAGATAGAGAGTTGGCACATCTTAAGAATCGCCATCGTCCGTGCTTCAAACAAATTTTCACGAAATTTTTTCCTTTTGAAAGTCCGCCATTTTGTATACTTGACGCAAAACCGGAAAAAGATCGCGACAGATCAAAGATCATTAATTGACCATTCATATTCGAGCTATTTATCTAGCGCTTTTTAAATGTTTTATATGTATTTTTTTTGTTTTAAAAAAATAAATTTGTTTTTGAAAGACGGAAGATACTAATATACCAAAAAAACGCATACAAACACGTAAAAACATTCAGATACATACCAAAACACACAAACACACACATACAGAGAGATAGACAGACCGACACGCACACACAGACACACACACACGCACACACATCATTATAGGTCCATCGAAGAGACATCTCAACAGAAACATAACAGGAAAGTTGCCATTGGCATTGTCAAGACTAGCTCTTTGAATTTTAAACACTTTCATTCGTTCGTTCATTCGTTCGTTCGTTCTTTCATTTGTTCATTCACTCATTCATTTATTTATTCATCCATTCATATGATCATTCGTTTGTTTATTGATTAATTAATTCGTTAATTGATTTATTAATTAGCACTCTCTTCAGTCATTTTCTTCAGCATACTTTTACATTCACTCATCTTCAATCACTCACTCACTCATTCAACAACAACAACAACAACAACAACAACAACAACAACAACAACAACAACAACAACAACAACAACAACAACAACAGCAGCAGCAGCAACAGCAATAACAATATTAACAACAGAAAACATAATTATAAATGAGAATGACGTCATAACAAAAACGTAAACAAAAAAAAAGACATCAAAGCAAAGATAAATAATTTCATCCGATAACCTTCATAATTAACTGGTAGTAATTAGAAATTTTACTAATCTTTGAAAAAATCCCGTAAGCGATACATTTGTTTGAAAACAAATTACTACTACCACCACAACGACAAATATTGCTTCTACTACACTAATACCACAACTACTAGTACTACTGCTGCTGCTGCTACTACTACTACCAATAATACTACAACTATAACAATAACTACAACTACTTCTACAACTACTTCTACTACTACTACTACTACTACTACTACTACTACTACTACTACTACTACTACAACTACTTCTCCTACTACTACTGCTACGACAAAACGACAATAACAACAGCAGCAGCAGAGTAACAACAACAGCAACAACAATAATAATAATAATAATAAAGCTTGCGGGTTAAGTTATCGTAGTGGATAATTAGCGGACATCAAACAAAAATATCATGTGTCAATTTATTTATTGGCAGACAGAATCATCACCATCATCGACTTCGTCATCATCACCATCTTTTTCTTCTTCACCATAATTATTATCATCATCTTCCGTACTAACACTATCATCAACGTTGTCATCATATCTGTCAGTATATGAATGTATGCGTGTGTGTAAGTATGTATGTGAGTATGTATGTATGTATGTTTGTTTGTTTGTATGTATGTATGTATGTATGTATGTATGTATGTATGTATGTATGAATGAATGTATGTATGTATGTATGTATATATATTTATATGTATACAAAACATTCTTCAAGTTCGAAACACCTACACGCATAGATGACCCTGGGTTATTAGACGCCTATTAACGCTGTTTTTGTTGTTTCTTTATTTTGTTTGATGATTGTATGTTTGTTTGATTGTATGTTCGCTCGTTTATATTTGTTTCTATGTTTGTATGTATGCTTGTATCTAAGCTTGTATGTATGATTTTTAAATATATTTTTGACGTTTTTTTGGCCTCTTGTGGTTAGCATGTTTTTTCAAAGATTCAAATAAAGATATTTGATGTGGCTTTTTTGAAAAAACACACACAAACACGCACATACAAGCACACACACATAAACACATGTACACATCCAAATTCTTAATATCAATATTTAATGTATTTTCGAGTTTAGTTAAATAAAAAATTTTCTAGCCTTAATCCTTAAGCCCTTTAAATTTTTAACTTTTAAAGGCAATGAGTGAATGAGTGAATGAGCGAACAAATGAATGAATCTAAAAATGAATGAAAAAATGAATGAATGACGGATTGAGTGATTGTATATTTGAAACAATTGTATTGTATAGATACGTACATAGATGCATACATACATACATATATACATACAAACAAACACACATATAGACACATACATACAAACACACATACAAACCAACATACATACATTCATTTCATATTTGTATTGTAAATAGTAAATCCTTTCGTTAAATAATACTTAGCTATTGTGTACTATTGATACAATAGTATGTGTGGGGTCCTGATGTATCAATACTTAAATACAAACATACATACATACATACATACATACATACATACATACATACATACATACATACATACATACATACATACATACATACATACATACATACATACATACATACATACATACATACATACATACATACATACATACATACATACATACATACATACTTACATACTTACATACAATCATGTACATTGTATCAAACCGTGAGAAGAAGAAATGATTGTTTTGAGAATAAACAATGTTTATTAAACATAGTTTAGTTCTGTTGTTTGTTTATTACATACAAACATACATGGATTCGTACATACATATATACAAAAACATACATGTTCACATACATACATACAAACACATACACACCGACATACAC